AATCAACTAATAAGTAGTGTCTTGCCCCTTTGAAGGCATGTTCATACCCGAGTATAGGTTCCATGCGTTGGCTTTGGCACAGTGAACACCGTGATCTGCCACTGTAGTGATGACTGCTCAACACACTTTTCAGCCACTGAACTGCGGCATTTTCCCTGGTTTTGCTCTGGCAAAGTAGAGCCAATGGCTGAGACATCTCTCCCTTTAACTATTCTTGAGCTGTAACTTGTCTTGCATCCCCTTCAACTTGTACAATACAAGTAAACCAGCTCACTCTCACAAGCGCTCATCATGTGAGCACTTCAAGGCCTCTGCTGGTTCTAGGTAAGGATTCAGTTAGGGTTCAAGCCTACATTTAATTCAGATGTAATCTGAAGAGCAACACTTTTCAAGCCCTTCTGAAATAATATGGTGACCTCTAATTTGACAAAATTTCTATTCTGAAATAACAGGTGACCTCTAATTTGACAAAAAACAAATTTGGCACACTAATGCTGAGAGGTCGGCCTCAGTCTAAAACACGATTGATGCTTTACAGTATACTCTGCATGCCATCAATCATTCTTCTGGTAGGCTCAGTGCAAACTAACTAAATAAAAGTAGCTACACAATACTTCAACAAGATGATTCAAAGAAGTGGCTTAGCCTAACGAGCATACAGATGCAACAAGTAAATTAGCAATGCATTTCAAAACAGTAAGACAGACCATGGTAGCTAAGAAGTGTTTTAAAGAATTGTGCTGGTTTTGGCTGGGATAGAGTTAATTTTCTTCACAGTAGCTAGTACGGGGCTATGTTCTGGATTTGTGCTGGAAACAGTGTTGATAACACAGGGATGTTTTCATTACTGCTGAGCAGTGCTTACACAGAGCCAAGGCCTCTTCTGCCTCTCACCCCACCCCACCAGCGAGCAGGCTGGGGGTGCGCAAGAAGCTGGGAGGGGACACGGCTGGGACAGCTGACCCCAGCCAACCCAACCGCTATTCCGTACCATATGACGTCATGCTCAGCATAGAAAGCTGGGGGAGGAAGAAGGAAGGGGAGGACATTCGGGGTGAAGCAGCGAATGAATTCCTTGTTTTGCTTTGCTTGCGTGTGTGGCTTTTGCTTTCCCTATTAAACTGTCTTTATCTCAACCCACGAGTTTTCTCACTTGTACCCTTCTGATTTTCTCCCCCATCCGATTGTGGGGGAAGTGAGTAAGCAGCTGTGTGGGGCTTAGTTGCCAGTTGGGGTTAAACCATAATATTTATACAGTAAACTCTGTGCAAATACCAGCTTAAAGGTTTTAATTTCACTTTTAAATATTTTTATCTGAGGAACAGCAACATTATAATGAACTGTTCTCCCAGGCACACATTTCACTGGGTCCTGTTCAAACATTCCAAAATATAACTAAAAGACTTCGTAGTTGGATTTCCTTTGTTGCTACTTCTTCCCCATGACCTACTCAAACACACAGAGATATAGAATCAAATTTTGTCCGGGTCTTAGACAGACAAAATGGACAAAAAGAATTCTGCTCAGTTGGCACACCTCTGTAGGGTATGGTCATCATTTGTTCACGGGGTGTCAGCAGCCAAAGGATATTTAGTTAGCAACCCTCAATATCAGACAAGGATGGACTGTGGCTTCAAACTCTCCCTCCTGCTAACTTGCAGAACAGTACTGAGTAGGGGCCAGGGAGCTATGGCTGTTCAAAGGGATAGCAACAACAACATGCCAGCACTGTATTGTACCTTTCAAGGACAATTATACCTTTAAGTGAAATTACTCTGAGCAGTACAATCAGGCAGGCAATTGGGCAGGTCATTCCATGGCCTCAAAGAAACCTTTTTTTGAAAAACTCACCAACATTTTCATACCTATGCCAAGAAATAACTGTATTCATCAAATGCTGAGCTATGTAGATACATTGCTTTGGCATTTATCCTGCGTTCTTCTGGAAAAAGCCCTACAACTATACATATTTAAACAACAAATTATCTCCTTTTTTTTTAATCTACTGAGACCAGAACTAGTAAAAAGAAAGGTTAGTCCATAATAATGAAAGAAGAACAAGAAATAATTAGAAACAACTCAATTTTGAAGTCAGAAAAATTTACATTATTTGCCTCAAAAAAGACCAAATAGGAATGCAGTCAAGTATTGCCAATATTTCTGTCAGTGTTTTTGGGATAATGCTGTACCTAGGGCAAAATAACTCTGTCAGCTGTTTTTCTGAGAAGCTGCAAGGATTAATGCTAGCTCTCTATTTTTAAATAGTTGGGAGGTATTCAAATACAATGAGATTAAGTTGGACAGAAAAAAAGATATTTTCTTTGCACACAGTATAATATTGGTAATAGCCAATTTAAAAAAAGATGATTCCTGTATGACTTGAAGCTCAATCAAAATGTTCCACTAAAAATGAAAACAGAGAGAATATTCACTGGTGTATGTAAAGGTAAAGTGGTCTGTACAATGTAACACTGGTAAATAAAATATCAGTATTTTCAAACCCAGCAGTAAAGAAAATAATTGCTCTTAGATTTCAGCCTCCACATTGTGATGGATGGCACTAATTCTGTTCAAGCAAACGATTTATGTCCGACATTATAGCGTCCTATAACTACAAACTATCAAAAAAATGAAAAGATTAACACATTCCACCAGCAAACATAGAAAGTGAATGAATACCTAGCTTTCTCTGTGCACTATGGTTAACAACCATAAAACTCTGAACTGAGGAGCAGCAGTTCTAAGTTATATTCACAATTAAGACAGCAACACTTTATGATCCAAAAACATCAGGTGAGAAAAACTACGTAACAAATAAGAAAATTATTTGCTGAATTAGTCAGTGAAGTTTTGTTTTCCACTTACCATTTCAGGTTCAAAAACAATCCCCTCATAAAGTTTAAATTCATCAACAAACTTACAAGTAATGAAGATGTTTTTCTTTATACCTGCTATCTCTTCTTCAACACAACCGTTAGCTCAGGACAGCATACCTGAGCCCAGCAACCTTTCAGCCATCCTACTATTAGAGATACCAGCCATACTGTGAAACTCCCACAGTTTGCAGCCTTAAGTATTACTTTCAGCCTTTTAAGCTTGAACTCTGGTGGCTGAAGAGCAAATGCAGGTCAGCTGCTGTTGTGACTGCTACATCATGGCAAGTTCCAGCTGAGGTGAACTGCTGAACACTCCTTAAATGGTGTCAACTAGAGTTGTCAGGAGATCATAAGCCAGAGCCCCAAGCAATTTGATTAGAATCAGAGAGTAACTGGATTAGTGGAACTACTGAATTAGTATTTGATGAGCTGTATAATTCATATGTTATCTTCACAGCACTACTAGCTCTAACACCTGCAACATGAATTAGCATCCGCCCCTTCATGTGCCAGGTGATTCAAGCCTCACTTAAAACAAACAAAGGTTTGCATTGAAACAGGTGAAAAAAATAAAAACTAACTATATCTTGAGCTAGCAATTCAGTAAAGATGCTTGCCAGCTCTATTGGCACATTCTCATTATTTCCTCTTCTTTCATTTTAACTAACTTCAACAGGCAAAGTTGGGAGATATTCTCTCCTAGAGGCAACATACAATCAGTCAGAGAATTGGTGGTATCTTGTCTCTGTGAGAGGTGAAAGCCTTCCAGAGCCCAGCACGCAATGAAGGCTGGATTCAGTGAGAGAAAGGGCCCCTGCCTTTCACAGGGGCAGAAACTGCACAGTCAGCAGCACCTTGACTCTCTGGCAGCGTTTTTGCCAACTCTGTTGTCACACATCAGTTTGCAACACTGAAAAATATCATGCACTGCAGGAAGGCAAAATGCTCTCCTCAAGCAGCTGCGGGAAGCAGGCCCATCAAGATAAGGCGTTATCTACCACTTTTTGAACATCACAGTGCTGGCAGTATGCTTCTGTCAGGGCAGCCTGGGTGCCAAACTTCTCTCTTGTACTCCTGCAAGCTACAGGGGTGCCTATTCAGGTTTTAGTCACACTCCAGACAAATCTGAAGATTCCTTCCAATCACGGGCTGGCTAGACTGCCTGCCTAGAATTACAGTGAATTAAATAAAGAAACACAACTTTGGACTTTCATAGTAAACATAAAATAAACATTTTAAACGAACATTTTTTTAAGTGCTGAAAGGGGTTTTCTGTTGTTCCTTTTTTAAACAAAGTTGTCTGTTTCTAAATTTCAGTCAAAAAGCTTAGGTTCCAAACTCACAGGCTTTATTGTAGATTTTCATGTTTGTAAGGTTCAAAATGCAACTTGAGACAAGCCAACTAAAGTGAAATGAGTTCAGCCATGAAACAGGATTGCAGTTAGAGCTTTATCTGCCTCCATCCCTACAATTATTCCAGAGGAGAAAGACACAGTAAGTTATGTTGCTATTTATAGTAAAAGGAAATGATAAATACGAGCGCTTAGTAAATAGTAGGCAATAGAGAAAATACAGTAATTTGGAGTTATGTGTTCACTAATACCTAGTAATTCACAGGTGGCATGTTACATCCGTGTGCTGCATTTTATTTGACATGTTCACAATCCTTTTTAAGTCAGTCACAAATCCAAACACAGTTAGCAGACAGGTTATTTAATAAAATCAGATTTATAAAACTATTACTGTGTGAAACAGCATTTCACCTATTAAATTTTTCTAATACAAAACCAGCTACTCAAATCAATAGAGAAAGAAGAACAATAAATAATGAAACTATGAGAAAATAATTGAGATGTTATCAAAGCTATAAATACATAAAACATTTCTGATGATATCATAATGCACTCTACATGTTTTTCGCTTCTTTTTTTCCTTCACAAAACCTCTCCTGATATCTGCAGTTCCTAATCATTTATTCTATAAATACAGCTTAGTTGACTAAGGCTGAAATGTGCTAAGATGCGGTAACGTTTCAAATTCATACATGAAACAATTTGGAGGCTTCCCCCAGGCATTCGCGGCCGAGGCTCCTGCTGCTCTGCTACCCACAATCCCCCCATTTACCTGCTCGCCGGGCTGCCTCAGCCCTGGTCAGGAAGTGGTGGAGCTGATCCAGCTTATCAGGCTGCTCCTCCAGGGACTGCTGCTGCCATATGGCTGACCCAGGCCCCGCAGCCTCCCTCAAGGCATCCCACTTCTGTATCAGAGTGAAGAGCTCGGAGAAGGACTCGTGATAACCCTGTCGCAGCATGTCTATGCAGATGTTCTGCTTGTATGAATTCCTGTTACTGGGAATAAGAAAGATAGATTTTAAGCCTTTAAACCTGGATTCTCTTCTCCACCTTACCAAATAAGCATGGATAACTCAAACAGCTTTCAAGAAGAGACCTCTGCAGTTCAGCAGCGGGGAAGGGGTGTTTTTTCCCCCGCTCAAAAAGCATTCTGCTACAATACGATTATGCATGTCATACCCTAGGATGGTAAATATGGCAATAATGAATAAATACCAATATATATATATTGAAAACATACTAAAAGTATACCGGTATTCTTTAGCTGGTATTGGTAAAAAAGGCCGACTGATGGGACAAAACCCCTGTGTTTACATTAGCTCATGAAAACACAATGAACTCTTAGTTTGCTTTAAAACAGTGCACAGGGAAAAATGAGGCCCATTCCACATGTCAAAACAATGTATATGTTAAATAGTTTTGCTGTAGGACATGATGGCTTAGTTTAAAACGTCAAACAAATGCTATGCCAGAAACATAATCATTAGATATTATTTTGCTTCTGTTTAGCATATAACTTCAGCTGGGACTGGTTTACTGATGCAAAAGTTTGATAATTTCTCCCTAATTTTAAAATCAAATGATGCAATGATGAATTTATATCAAAGTTATCTCATTCATAAACTCTAATAAGATACACATATCAAAAAGTTGCGTAATCAAATATTCTCTAGAGGTAATATATCTTTTGAGGTATTATTTATGGAAATAATCAAAATATTTCTTTTATGTGGCATGAAACAATCATTGTGTCCTATCCTGGAGAAAACTATGAGTCCAATGGGACTGCCTGCAGCACTAAAGTATAGATGTAAAGGTTTGCGGGTGTAAGTATCTGTGTGAGAAAACAAACCTTTGTCCCAGTAAAATGGCAAGGACCCGGATGTGTTAATTTTATTTTGTGTATTCCATTAAGTTTCCAAACTGTTTTCAAGACTGTCTTTTTAGATTCAGATCCATTTAACTTCAAATTCTCAGCAGCTTTAAAATACAGATGGAATTCTGAAAACTGAGATTTATAGTGGACGTTATAAATTCAGATGACCTCATGCTAAACAACAGCCTAATGAGACTAATACTTCTAGCCTAAAAAGAGCTGCTGCAGTTCTTTAACAACGCTAATAAGATGGAAGTGATGTAAAAAACTTCTTAGCTAGATGTCAATGAAATAAACAGTACTGTGAGATGTAAGAAGTAAACAATCTGCATTATTTCGTATTTAATATGATTAAAATAAAATCTATTAATTACTACATAGATGCACATTAATCCTTCACATATATTTTTTACATTTCAGTTGCAGAACTGAACACAAAAATATTACAAAATCCTGATATGATTTAGACTAGACAGTATCGAATTTATGTTTAATACGTAAATAGGTGTTTTTTGAGATTGAAAAGCACACATTGTTCACACAGACAAGGGAAAACATATAACTATTCTGTACCAGAAAACATTTGCAACATTTATCTTAGAAAAGTAAATGAGAAATATATTTAAACATTTAAATTTGAATTTGCCAGAATATGCTATATTTGTCATGTATCAAATGCACGGTATATAGCTTAAAAATACTGTAAAGATACTATGTTAATAATATACAATGTATTCTCTAGTCTATGTGGAATACTTTCTTTTTGCTGTTTTAAAATTCTATCTAACTAAAAAAAATTGAAGAATATAGGTAAAAAATTCCTACCAACTTCTAAAGGCACAGGACTGAATCCCACATTAATATATCTCAGAGCAGTGGAATAACATTCTGCATAGCAGACACAAATACATATTTATTTATATAATGTGATCTATACATGTGTATATGTGTGCATGTATTAGATTATTAGATGTACTAGAAGTAAACAAGAAATTACTGCTAAAAAATCTTAACAGGGACTAAACAAAATGTCATTCAGTTAATTTTTAGCACTCACTGAGCACAGTACCAATATTCCTATAAATAGAAAACCTGTGTCCATGTAACATGTTATTTCCTTTAGACTGATGCATTTTACTTGAAGTAAAAGCACATTTTCCCCACAAGACAGCATTATTAGCAAACCAATAAAGGAAAACAAAACATACAGTAAAACAGGTCAGTTTTAAAAATTAGTGTTCATATTCTTTTAATAAATCCCATCCCAATTAATAAAGAAATTGAAATAATGCTGAGGTAATCACACGGTGAGCACATTTTTTCTTAGGCAAAGATAACTGATTTTAACTCACAAGCAATGAAGCTATCTACTGTATAACCATTCAAATGTAGAGGCATAAAGATAAAAGTTCTCGCTCAGTTATACTTAAAAACAGCAAATACACAAAGCGCAAAATAATACTACTATTGTTTCCTTAAGTTTCTGCAATATATAAGCCACTAGTGACTGATCACACAGAAACAATAAAATAGGGCTAGAAAGGAATGATATTATGGGGATGAATGGTATTTGTGACACCTAAGAGAGCTTGACACCGCAACGAGTTCTGAAATTGTTTCAGTTATCAAAGTGGTTCCAGATGAAAATGCCAGTGCCCTTTTTTCCAACAAACAGTGCTTTCGAACAGAGGAGTAGTGTAGGTGACAGCAGTAAACTTTTCATGGTATCTTGAGATAAACTATAAACCCTCAATCCTCAAAATCCGTTTCATACTGCTTTTCATGATGTCATGCAGCATGTAAAACGAGAGGTTAAACAGAACATCTCGTGTTTTACATAAACGAAGATTACTGTATTTCTAATATCAGTATCAAAACGTGATACCTAAGTAAACGTACATGATTTATTTTATAAAATCCAACCGTTAACGGTACGTTTCTACTACGTCAATAAACTAGCGTACACTAAACCTTTTGAACCTTACTACTTCATAAATTATGATACCTTATTAAACAAGTAAGTTTGTTTTTCTGCATTGCGTCCACACCGATTTTAGGTTTCCTTTGAACAATTAGGTTACTTCGAGAAGCGAAATGAAAAAGGACTGGCCTTTCATTTGGCCGGAGACCTTCAAGAGGTTTAATGGTCTCTGGGGGCATCTACTGGAAATCCTGCAAAACTGCAGGCAGGCCACGTCCCTCCCGCCGCGGCCGGGGCAGCGCGGCACGGCTGCAGAACAAAGGCAGGCGCCGGCGGGGATTAGAGGCCGGGCGCGCGGCGGAAGCGCGGGCAGCGCGCGGGGGAAGCGCGGGGCTGCGCCCCCCGCGCTGCCGCTGGCTCTGCCTTGCCTCGCCCCGCGCCACCAGCACGCAAACCTCGCCCGCGCAGCTGCCTGCAAGCAATTCAGCCGGCCGGACTGGAACGAGCAGCCAGCTGTGTAATGCTAGCTGTGTTTAATTTTAAAATTGACCCGTGATGCGGGCATCAACCTCAAGTCCTCTTTCCCCTCGGAATGCTCAGATCTGCATGGTCAGAGAGCAAGATTTCAGCTGCATTTTTTAAAACAAACTGTTTCTAATGAAATCTGGAGCGTATCTACGTATTCATGGTCAAGACAAAGAGACCAATTGATCTGTTTTTCCTTTCAAGCCGATTTGTTTTACTTTTTTTTTTTTTTAAATCCATGAAATTCAACAGATGAGAACCGTAATACTTCACACAAACACAGACGATGCTGAGAATGCACTGTTCCTCTGCCTGTACGCTCGTCTCTGTCATTACTGAACCCAGCTGAGGTTGCCAGATGTTTGTTTACACAGGCCGGGTAAAACACTGAAATGAGGTCCGCTTCGTGGATGGGGCTGGGTACCCTGCATTGGGCCTACGCCAGCAGTTACCGTGAGGCAGTATTTTGTGCGTGCGGTGCCGAACAATTCCGTGCGCTTCCACGTGTGTGTGTGTGTGTGTGTGTGTGTCGCCGGGGGGCAAGGGGGCAGGGGGGCATGCCTCGGAAGAATTTTCAGCACCAACTAAATAACTACCAAAAGTTAAAGTTGCCGTTTTAGGGGTACCCTGTTATAGATGATGATTTCACGTAGTGTAATATCACCCGGGTGGAAGCAGCTGTTTATCGCATGTGGACCTGTGAGCTTGGAAAGGCACTGCTATTGTTAACGCTGTGCTTTAAGCGCACCTGGATACTGCTACACGCATTTTCTTAAACTATACAGCTACTTACATAATTTTCTTATATGGATTTCTTTTATTATGATCATTGCTATTCTAAAACAATCTAGAGTCATGCTGAGGAATCACAGAAACCTGATTCGAACCTGCCGTTACCAGTGCAGAAATCATAAATGCTAATAATCGTCAGCGAGGCTAATGAAATTGCACTGTTGTTGCAATCTCAAGGCCCTTCCTGTGTTATGGTATTGTACTTCTACAAGACTCTTCAGCAATGCTGGGAGATCAGGACAGTACCATTCTACATTTCCTTTACCTTAAAATCCTGCACAACAAGGCTATTTGTATTCTACCTTTTACACTGAAAGACAGACAAGAAAAAAGAAATTAAGAGGCCAAGAGGCAGGTATTGGTGTTAGAAATAATCAAACCAGTCAGTATAGCATAACAGAATTATTTATCATGAGCTTAATTCTCCATGCCTCCCGTCTGGCGTGGTCAATTACAGACATGCCAAACAAGTGCAAAACTTCACCATTTTCAGATGACAGATTTTTTTTTTTTTATATCAGGGTTCATATCTTTAGATTTTGTAGGATTTAATTAGCACTATAGGTTAATGCCAGCTGCTGATTACAATACAAGTGTACTGTAGCAATCCCATTTTGTAGAGCACAAAATGGCATGGATTAAACAACGATAGTATATAAAATATTAAAGTGCACTTCCAGTGTAAAATAATTACTCCACCAATTATTATGATGTTTAAAAACTGTATTCAAATAGGTTTCATCCACTTGGGATTTCCTTCTGCATTTGGCAAGTCAATGACTGATATAAATGCCTTAGATAAGGATCACAAAATTACGAAAAAATAGTCAAGATATTTTTGCTTAAGTTTATTTAAACAAATACATAATACTTTATTTCCCC